AACGTAATTGAGAAATTGGAATACTTTTGGCTGTTCCTTTCTAGGGGGTCAAAGTCAAGGTCAAAGTCAAAGCATTTTTAATTCCAAAAAAATTAATTTAATGTTCAAAGACAATAGACATCGTTATATTTCTTTATTATGCAGATAATGCAATGGATGCAATTCGAGAGCTGTCGTTCGACGTCCTTCAGGACTAAAAGGAAGGCCTTTGTCCAGCAGTGGACGTCTTCCGGCTGTTGACGATTATAGTATTGTTGTGTAAAAGTTATCTAAGACTTATTTAGACACTTCGTCGTTTGTCTTGTGGTACGATGAAACTTATTAAGAAATTGTAATTGTTTTGGCTGTTACAAAGGCAAATTCAAGGTCAAAGCAAAGTCAATCAATTAATCCTAGCCCTTTTTAAAGTATCTGTCGTCTCACATAGTATATAGTTTTATCGAAACCATAGGTTATTTTTTTGGGGTGCTAGCTTTGTTTCTGAAGATCCATCTGTTTGTTTTCTCTGATTCCATTAAAGATAAACAGAAAATTCAAGTTTCTCATTTATTCTTTTTTTGCTTAATTTTTTTTTATTTTCTGTTTTTATTTTTTTTTTGGTTCAGTGTCAATCTAGACTTTACGATACTAAAGAGATTTTCCTTATTCTAAGTTTTAGTAATAAACCAAGCAACTAAATTCCAAGTTCAAACACAATGACGTTACTGGTTTTTCTTAATTTAATATCAGTAGTGAATAGCATAATCATCAAGTATCTACTTTTCTTTTGAGGGTTTTTTGAGGTGGTAAATTTACCTAATGACTTCCCCCACCTTGGGTGAGGCGAGAAGGAGTGTCAGACTCTTATTGAATAAAAACCGCTCCGTTCTTACTCCTGTTTTAACCGAAGAAGCCCCGATAGCCCGCTGAGTCGTCCCCAGCTGCGGACTTAAGTAAGGTACTAATATTATAAAAAATAGTTAGGACGAACCTCACATAGGTATTATAGGTAGCCATACTAAGCTGACATCAGTATCTATTATTGTACTTACATAATAGCTATTGAACAATGTCTAGACAAATAATATATCTTTCATTATGTAAGTATAAAATGTAACAGATAACTTTTTCAATATTGTCAACGTGAACTTCAATGTATGGAAAATTCTGTAATACTAAGTACTAGTTTTAATATGAAAGTTTGTCCGTTTGTTACGTTTTTATTATTGTATCGATTATTTATCTACAGTTATAACTGTGTGTGTATATTGACTGAAGATTGACGCAATATTAGCTGGTCAACTGTCAAACCACGCGTCGTAGATTTGAATAGTTTTATTATTTGATTCATAAATTGTTTTTCTGTATTATTATGAGACGTTTATAAATGAACTCACCACACATTAGGAAATTCTTGTACCTATGCAAGAATAATTGACGATGCGTGTCCGAAACTTACCAACGGCAAGTACCAATGTGACTTTTACCGAGTTAAAAATGTACTTTCTAAAATTATTTAGACACCACTGACAAACGGCAAAGGAACACATCGCGAGGTATCCTACAGCTGTAGCCAAATGCCATTTAGCACTTGTCTACATGTAGAATAGAAAACAAAATTATATGGAATTGACGTAAATTTTGACACTTGTCAGTGTCATCCCCATACATTTAGTTTTCTACTCTCTCTGTAGACAAGCGCTAAATTGGTGTTTGGCTAAAGGCACTGGACTTATAATTTCCAATTGTAAGTTTGAAATCGCTAACCCGCAATGGGCTCGTGGTGATTAGTTAATGCTCTAACATTCTCTGTGTGAGAAGAGGCTTTTGATCAGCAGTGGCCACTCATAGGCTGTGGATGATGATGATGATCCAAGAATATATATTTTAACTTTAGCAAAAGTGTATAAAGTCCCAATTATTTGCTAAAATAAATATCAAAGGTATTACAGGTGCGAGTTAAGCTGCAGGTAAAACCGAGTGACTCAATATTTTAATATCAAATGCTCATAAATAATCAACTCGATCGTTTGATAGCATATTTTTCTAATAGTAATTTTTCTCTTTCAAATTTTGTGATACATTATAATCCATTGAACATATTGCTTTTTTATAAATTAATATTTGTTTTCGCTATCTAAAAAGTAGACTTATAATCAACATCTTTGATGATTATACCTATTGTAATTTGTATTGCTGCTATTGATAATTATCTTTTAACTTATAACACGCCTTGAAACTCAACACGATAAAATTTCAACATTAATAATATAAAACAGAGAGCACACAATCCCATAGCAGTAGATTCAAATGATATTGTTGAAGGAAAACGTGAGGAAACCCACACGTTTTTGATATAATCTAACGAGCTAAATGCCTAGAGTACGGAAATCGCCAGTCCCATTTGTCATACTGGACTTGAATTGTGAGACGACATGAACACAACGATTGCCGAGCTCTTTGTCGAGCATAAACGAGTGTTATAATAGCTTATTCAAAGTTAGGTGGAGTGACCACCTATATCCATAAATTAGCTGGACGCAAAGAGCTGAAGATCGAGTTCTGTGGCTTACTATTGGAAGGAGACAATTGGGATGATGACAGAGTATGAAAATTAAAAATCTAATTAGCTCGTAAGTTAGCTAATGAAAAAGTATAAGACGCGTATTTTTTCGACTTTATAGGGATGGAACTCATTTCGTTTGTACCTTTCTTATTTACCTCATTCAGCCTTCTTTTTTTATGGAATAGGAGGTAAACGAACAGACGGATTGCCTGATGGTAAGCGATCAGCGCTGCCCATGGTCTTTTAAAAAGGAATAAGTTTTTTTCTTGAAGCTTTAAAGGTCGTATTGGTTCGGAAATACCACCGACGACAGATCATTCCACAGTTTTGCTGCTTTCTTTTACGCTACGGAAAAACTAAGGTGATGTCAAGTTATTAGATTTGTATTCGTGATCTACCGTAGTTTCGTTGTTACGTTAGTCTCATTACCGTAGTATCACATCCTCATTTCATTGTGTACACGTTAACGTAACGTCAGTAATTTGAGGCAAGAACACGTAACTGTTTGACGGGAAACCGTCCCTTTGGCAGACCATTTATAAATGAGTCAACATTTTTAGGAATGGTTAATTTTTTAATATGTGTATTAACCCATTCTTGGTCAGTGTGCCAATTTGGGAACACCTAATCATTTAGGCGAGAAACGTTGTATTATCTATTCTATATTTTAAATAAATGAACACATTTAAACAATTTTTTCTTCTTCTTGGTCATTAATGGGTAAATTAGTTTCAATTCAACCATGGGTGGAGATTATCTAAAATGTTTTTTTTTTTAAGAAGAGGCACACAGTCTAGGCTTGGACTGTCATATTTTGTTGGAGAGCTTAGTGATTTTAGAATTCGTATTTATTTTCTTAACAGATAACAGGAAACAAATGAAAAATTGTACTGTTGTTTTAAATGAGTAAACTATTAATTTCATTTATCGAATGGTTGCCAATATAATCAGCAACTGTAACTTAAATATCTACAAACATACATACGTAATCTATCATGATTAGTAAGCCTATGTACGAGCCTAGGATATAGAGGATACAGGATATACAATTAGTCACACTAATTTATAATCACAACTTCAGCAGTACCTATAAACATCCTGTCTTATTGTAATAGGAACATTGATGACTATTATGTTTAACTATCTTCTACCAGCGACTACGCCGCGGACCCATAGGATAAAAACTAGCCTATGTATTACTCCAGTCCATAATCTATCGCTGTTCCAAATTTCATCTTAATACCTGCAGCCGTTTTGACGTGAAAGAGTATTAAACAAACATACAATCCTTGCATTTATAATAATAGTGGAGTAGAACGTTTTTTCAACCTAAGTTTACTTGATACGTAGAGTTAAAACATATATTTTTTTTAATTAAGTTTGTAATTAGGTATGTGTATTATGTTCTATAATGTAGACAGAGAATATTATTGTCTGTAAACACATTACATTAAGAACTTATTATGTTATTGGTTCTTTGAGGCCGTCTTATACATTCTGTTGAATATCTGCTGTTTACTGAGAATTGTTATTGAGATCCGATTGTGTCGTGTAATGCTGCTTACGAATATGAGCCCTTAGCGTGGCTTGAAACTAGTCGAATGTCTCGTCAAATAGGTAAGTTAGCAGTTAAACATAATGTATAAAATTTCGTATGTCTGTGCAGACACAATGTGGCGCACTATCATAATATTACCTACCATCTATTGTAACATACCTACATTGACGAAATCCTTACTATAATATTATAAATCGGAAAGTGAGTTTGTTTGTTTGTTCCACTTTCACGCCGTAACTACTAAACCGATTGAAATTTTGCAGACGTAAAGTTAGAAGTCTGGATTAAATAATAGGGTACTTTTTATCCCGGAAAATTTTGATATTCTCGAAGGAAAACGAAATTATTGGTATAGATGGCGCTGTGTGTATTGGTATATGTCACATAGGCTACTTTTTATCCTTTTGTGACGCGAGCGAAGCCGCGGGTAAAGGCTGGGAAATAATATTTGTATTTGTATTCGTAAACTAATTAGAGCGTACTGAGTGTAAAACACTATCCGTTTGTTTTAGCTAACTTTATAGTAGCATATATATTATGTACTTCAAAAGTAAACTACGGAAGCAGTTGAGTTGTTTTTGAAGTTGATGAAGAAACTTCTTGATTTACGAGTTGAAAGGATTTTGCTCTAGAAGTTGTAAGATATCGTTATAATTTTAAATAGTCCTTTAAAAACCGACACTTTAGAATAGTGTTTGCATAAATACGTGATCAATAATAAACATTATAATAGGTTTGGAGGTTACCTGTACAAACAATAGAAAAAAAATAAATATCCGAACACTATAATACTCGCAATCCTTTACGAAATTACAACCACACAAAATAAATTACGTAATTAGCAGAAAAATCCTTTAAGCTGAGTACTATAGGGAAAAAACACATAAAAAAACTTACCACCATTATAATACCATGGCAAAAAAATCCGTAACACTTCACAACACAACACTATAACTCCGTGTGCCACTGTTACACCGTAGGCCCGTCGGTTCGAAACCCGACGTAGTTTTGAACTGAAAACTTGCTGCAAACGCGGTTCGCGTGTTGAACCGCTAGCAACCCACAGCAAAACAGTTGCACATAACATTTGAATAAGGAATTAGGTCTATATTTAAACGTTTTTTTTTCGTGTTTTTTTTTCTATACGATGTGTGATCAAGACAGTTCGTAGACACAATGATTGGGAATTATTAGGTAAGTGTTTCAATGAGTGGTAATAATAAATTGTTTGTTGATATGTCGTTGCCATGGCAACGCTTGTAGTACTTTTTGCTCGACGAATAACAACTTTTATTGAACTCTCTATGCGTTCTTTTTTTTTAATTGAACGTTTTTGTCACGTTCCATTTTTAAACGTATTAGATAAATATAAATGTTCTTGGGAGTAAAATTAAAAAAAAAACGATTGAAACTTTAATAAATAACGAAATTGTTCTTGATTTTACTGCCGATAAAATGTTAAAGTATAATTTAGAGTTCTGTTTAAGGCTAATAAATTGAAAGTTTAACGGTCTTGTTTGGAGGTAATCACCAATTATGATACCTGGTAGACATAAAAAATTCAATTTTATTTTCTCTGCCATTGGGTAGTACCTAAGGCCAGTCGTAAAAAGACACGTTGCTCTTATAACTACGTAAATTAAAGGTTCTTAGTAGATATTGAACTTTACAACGGACCGGTAATAACTTCATTATATTGTTCCTTAAGGAATAAAAATTAAGTTCCAATTATGAAAGTTCTGACACTGACGTACTTTTCTAGTGTACTTTCTTTAGATCCCTTAGTCTTTTAGTTTTAATTTAGTCGACTGAAATGCAACTTTAGCAAGAATTTTTTTTTTGTGGGACATGCCCGCCACAACCTCCCAAAACCGCTGCAACTCCTGTAAGCCAGGATCTACAGTAGATACAACCATGAAAACACCGGAATATTGAAGTCCGGCGCGTCCCAGGGACATGAGTAACTGTCTTGGTTCCCGCAACGAAATGAATCAGAAGATATTATAAGAGGAGAAGAAGAAAAAACTATAATTTCCACTTCCCTCGGTGAATTACTGCAGGAGACAGAATGAATTAAGCCTAAAGGCACAAAGAAGAGACTGTACAACTGGGTGAAGCCCAGTCGCCAAGCACCACGGAAATTTGACTAAAAAACTAAGTGGGTCCTATGTGTGAGCTGTTATACTTGCTTCCAATAATAGGTATGGCAAAAGCGCCTAAACGCACGGAAATTTGTTCTAGATTCCACAAGGTCCGTATAATAAGCTACACCTGATGAAACAATTAAATTATTCAACATAGTGTTACGTTCATATTGCCAGAGATCACACTCCCAGAGTATGTGATGGGCCGACTGCTCGTATCGCAACTCCTCTGACGAACATTGGCACCATGGTGAATCAATAAGTTTAAATGAGAACAATTTGCTTTTAAAGTTGCCGTGGCCAGTAAGAAATTGGGCAACACAGTGATCCACCTCCAACCATGTCCTCTCCAGCCGCTCATGCACGGATGGGAAGAACTGATACAGGTGGCGGCCCTTAATAGAAGATGCCCATCTACCCTGCCATTCAGTTATAAGCTCATCCCAAACGTCCGTTATTGGCTTAAACAATCTTGCAATTTTATTTCTATCACGTTCAGCCAGAAAGCCTGCTGACAAATTAGGTCTCGCACTGTAGTACATAGCAGCACGTCGCTGCACCTCAAGATCTACCGGAAGTACGCCCGCGAGCACAGGTAGGGCTTCAGTGCTAACCGTCCTATAAGCCTTACACAGGAAAATCAAGGCTAGACGCTGGCCTTGAAGAAGTTTTCGCCGTACCGCGCCTATTGTGGCCCTATCAGCCCAGACAGGTGCCCCGTAGCACACGCATCCCAGGTAGGTTGCTCCGTATATGATCCTGAGCGTAAGAAAAGAGAGACCCCAGGTGGCTTTTGAAATTCGCGTCAGCGCATAGAAGTTTTTTTTGGCTTTCTCACTAATAGCCTTAATATGCTCAATGAAAGAAAAGTTTTTTTCCAAAACTAGACCGAGATAGCAAACCGACTCCTTTCGTTTTACGGAAACGTTGTTAAATTTAATAGACGGCCACGACTTTAGATTTCCTTTAAGCAATAGCTGGTAAGTTTTATGGGGTGCAAAAGTTAAGCGATTTCGTTCGCCCCATCGCGAGATCCTACTGAGACAGTCTTTAGCCAAATTCTCCAGTCCGGCGCGGGTATTTGACTGTACTAGCAAAAGGCCATCATCCGCATATCCAGTCAAAGTACAGCCACAAGGAAGGGGAATCGCGAGCAAATCATCAAATCCTAAATTCCATAAATACGGACCGATAACCGAGCCCTGAGGACATCCCATTGATAAAGACTTCGACCGAGAACAATGACCAAGCTTCAGTTTAACGGAACCGTGAAGGAAATACGTGTATATTAATTTATATATGTTACTAAAACAGCCACGACCTTTCAGTTTTAAGAGTAACATTGGCCACCATGCGTTATCAAAGGCACCGGAAATGTCCAGAAAAATGCCTACTATATACTTGTGTTCAGACGAATTTACCATGGATCGGACAGAAAGAGCCGCGTCGACAGTAGACTTTCCTACAGTGAAACCAAATTGATTGTTGTGGAATTTTGGTCCACCTGGCAGTAAACGAGGAACGATAAGTCGCTCAAGTAGTTTCCCTAAAGATGGCAAAAGCGTGATAGGCCGGTATGACTTAGGGTCATCGGGGGGTTTATTTCCATTCTTGGGGATTATGCGAATGAATCCACGTCGCCATACACGAGGAAATACGCCTTCCGCGATACAACGGTTGAATACAGTTAGGATCGCATCAGCCGCGGATTTAGCAAGAATATGATTATTGCTATATCAAGTGTTAAAGAGAGATTAAGCACACTATTTAAGCCTCCGGCGGGTTTTTATTCAGTACTAGCTTCTGCCCGCGACTTTGTACGCTCAATCCCGTTTTCTCCTGTTCCCTTAGGATTTTTAGGATTTTTTCTGTCTCAAAAATCTTCTCCTAATAATCACAAATACAACAAAAAAGAATCAGCCAAATCAGTCAAGCTGTTTTCGTGCTATGTCGCGACAACGGAAAACGGGTTTCATTTATATATGTATAAATTTGTTTTTATAATAACTATCGTGAGACATATTAAATTAAGTTAAGTAAAAACGCGGGTTACTCACGTGAATATACTGAGAAAAGCTCTACTAGTTTCGAACTACAGAGGGGTTCTTCCCCCCAGAACCCCTTTTCTCTTTCAGCTTTTCTCAGTATATATATATTTGCTTTAAATTAATTTTGCAACTAACTAGAAACTATTTTGTGACACACTAATCTCTTCTTTACTCTAGATTATACTATTATAATCTAGAGTATATGATACTATTATCATAACTATGAAATTTTAATTTATTGCTACTACAATAAATAAATATTTTTTCTACAATAAAGATTAACGATTACTAAAATCAATTCTAAAAAAATGTTGAGCACTCCTCCACGAACGTCGGTGTATCAGTAATATGACATTTGAGTGCGGCACTCGCGACGTCGCCGCCTCGGCCGCGCTTCGGGCACGCGACATTGACCAGCTCACGACCTTGGGGATTTACTGGAATTATCATGAACGTAGGCAGAATCGCATGTTTAAGCTTGTATTGTTGGAAAAACAGTTTTGTTTAATACAGCTTAGACCTTGAAGATGTGAAAGAAAAACAGACTGAAATGGTAAAAAGAGAAGAAAGGCAGAAAGATAAAAAAATATTTGTTCATGTACAATCAGCAGCATCGGGTGACAGCAGAATACAATACACTTAACCCCATCACAACTGTTCCTTTCAGTATCGTAAGTGTAGATTAAGTGACTATACGCTTGATCACCTCCCCACCTCTCCCCGTCACCTCCAACCCCTAACAGACCGGCAACGCACTTGTAACTCTTTAAGGTTATTTTTCAACTGTAGAATAAAGTTGACATTTGACAGTTTTTAGTATGGAAGCAAAGTTCAAAGTTATTCCCCAGTTAATGGTAAATCGGCCCTTAGTGTTGCAAAAACACAGAAATGTTTTTCAATAATCGATAAATATGTAAAAGAGCTCATGATTTAGATTTAAAAAAAAATATTAGATGCTCTCAAGTCGATATTAAATAAATTGCGTTGTGTTTCGTCGTGAGAGTAAGGTTACGGGAGGCCCAATTACCCTCCCCTTCCCCAATTTTCCTAATTCTTAAATCCCTAACGATTCTCAAACTTCTGATTCCCTAAAGGCCGGTAACGCACTTGTAACGCCTCTGGTGTTCCAGGTGTCCATGGACGACGCCGATTACTTACCATCAGGTGATACGTCTGCTGGTTTACTGGCTTATGCCATAAAAAAATGTCAGTCATTGTACAGCAGGGGGTCATTGAACCTCTTATTCTATGCTCCCACGCGATGCCTAAGGAAACCACAAACTTTTCGAAAACAATGAAACTATTTCATATCTATTGACAAATTAGTTCTGTCTGACTTACAAGGATGCGTGTTTCCACGTAATCTTAATTTATTACGTCTGTCAGTTTGGTAATAATTTCCGGTTGGCTTTCCTAAATTATTAGTTGAAGGATTTACTTCATTAATCATTGTGAACGATCATAATTATTCTCCAAAAAGAAATGGACCTGATTTTCTTTCCTACACTACACTGAATTATTCCAAGCCAGTCCAAAATTCAGATCCAAGACTCCACACAAAAAATGTACCAGGAAAATCACCTTTTGATAATACTGTAATGAATGTTCATACGAGCACAGAAACATGAAACATTTCCCCTTTTATCGTCGAAGAGGCAAACAAAGATTATTTAGGTACCAGTAACTAAGCAACGCTGGCTGAGTCCGCATCGAATGGATTCCACGAAACATCCTTTTCATCGGTTTTTGACAAAAAACAGTCAAAGAGTTTTCAAACCTTTCAGATTTAGTATCCCAAAG